TACGCAATAGCAAAGGGCAAGTAAACATATAAGGCTGAGAGACCAGAACAGAACTCAATATATTATCAAAGACAGCTACACGTTTCAGAGATGTTCTTCGACCACAACAACTACCAGCGTCATGCTCCCTGTACCTTCTTGTTTTTGAGGTAGACTTTCTTAGCAGTGATGCGACCCCTGCGGGCCTCGAGCTGCCGTGTCCTCAGCTGTAAGACGCTCAGTTCTTCATCTCTGATGGGGGATGGGGGGGTTGTGGGCTCTTCTACGCCCTTCATGGCATCAGGGCTCTCAAAAGCATCATAGTACACCACCTCATCCTGTCGCTCTGGTATAGCAGCAGGACAGATTCATCAAAATGAAGTCAGAAACCCTGGTCATACAGGTCCACAGTTCATAGCTGCTGAATTCAAATGTTCAGTTTTGACAGTCCAGAAGTTTTCAGTCATTTTTCAAGCACAACATGTCAAAACTGATCTGGTTTCTGCTCCTTAAAGATGATTTTTCTGACTGTGGACTGACTGAAGACATCACAGTGGGCTTTGAGAAACTGAAAATGGTACGTTTTCAACAATTTATAGACTGAAAGCAACTGTAAATGATTTATCAACAACATCACTGCCAGCTTGATTCTTAATGAAAATAATCCTTTCTCATAATTCAGAGCTTAACCACTGCTGGAGTTTGAAGGCAATACAAAATCTGCCCATTTAAACATTAACAACAAAGATAAAGGACTTCAGGATCCCATATATTTGGCAACACACCAGGGTTAAGGAATTAGACCTGTACTTAGTAAAGCCCCTTGAGGCAAATTTGTGATACAGGGCTATAAAAATAAAATTTGACCTGACTGAGTGGCACATTTTTCCTGTAAAAAAATACATTTGTCATCGCTATCTGGTGAAAAACCATGTCAAAGATGATTTCTAAATGATTTTCTGTACTGGAATATCTTGTGATTTACACACCATTATACCTGTAATAAGCACAAAGCAGCTGAACAAAGCTCGACGGTTTTACTACAGAGTCAGAAAAATGTGAGTTTATCACACTGAGCTACGCATAAACAAACTGTAAGGCCTAAAAGAAGAACACAGATGTGTACCTGTCATCTGCCTACGGAGACTCTGCAGCTGGGCAGTGAGCAGCAGCTCCTCACAGCGCAGCACCTCAGCCTGGATATCATACAGCTGCAGCTGTAACTCATAGTACAGCGCCTCCAGCTGGTCCAGACGCAGTATGGCGTCCTCCCCACCTTGCAGACTCTGCATCTAGAACAGTTGCACACTTGCATTAGGCAGCACCACCTGGCTGCTCAGTGGAAACCGAACCTGAGGCAGCGTTCCTGCTCCCTCTGAGTGCTGAGCTACACCACTCCACTAGTTTTAGACCTTTTCACATGTAAAGCAAACATTTAACCCTAACGGTTGTTCCCAGTGAGTCATTTCCACTGTAATACACCAGGATGTTTCTCACTGCATTACAGGATGTCTGAGCCATGAGGTCATTTTTCTAACACAGCCATTATCTTGCTTTTTCCCCTTCTTCCTCAACATGTCCAAATCCAAGTCTTTATGTCTCTATGTTGTGTCACTTTAGCTTCTGACCAACTCACAGAAAATCTCGAGTTTTTTAAAACCACACCCAGACAAACTTCAGTCTGACCTGAAGCACACATGTTGGTCTACATCAGTGATATACTTCCTTGTGAGTGGTATCATGCTTAGCTTTACCTCCTCCTTCAAGCCATGTTTCTTCTGCTCCAGACAGATTTCTTTGGCCCTCATCAACTGAAGAGTTTCTTTGGACACGGCATACTGCAGCCGCTCCATGCGTTCAACTGCTGCCGTCCATGCCGACTTGCCAAACTTCCTCTGGTCAGCACGCATACGCTCATATAGAGCTGCAACACAGATGTGACTGTCAGAAACTGACTGAAACTGCAAGGATATTACTCAATTAGTGAAATGAAGATTTAATAATTGAGTACTTTACTTAATTAAATTGCCAGCCTTTTTGATTCTAGCTTTTCAAATGTGAAGATCTGCTGATCTTCTTCGTCACAAATGATAATAAAACATCTTTTGGCTTTGAACTCTTTGTCAGAAAAAACAAGCTCTTACGGGATGTCACACTGGTTCTGGGAAGTAACAACTGCTGTTTGTTAACTAGTTTTTGACTTTTTAATAGACAAAATTAATAAATGATTAACTGAGAAAACAAT